TGTTTCATTACCTGGCAAGGTAACATCTTCAGTGCTGAAGATGTTACCTAGCTGGGCAATGAAACGTTTGCAAGAAAAGGCTCAGAGAACCCCAAGGAGCCCACAAATGTCAGAGGGGATGTTGTTCTGGGGGCAGGTGCTGAGACAGAGAAAACATGCTTCTTGGGTCTTGCCAAATGACACTGTTTAATAGATTGGACACAGAGCGTGCCCACCTCGTTGGATCTAGTGGGAAACGGCCAGAAAATAATTCGTTTCAGCAGCGGCAACAGCAGAGGGAGAATTTCTGCAGAGAACTGTTGCGTGTTTAGTCTGGACTAGAAATGTGGTTATGGATTTGGAGTTTTCTATAAAAGTTGGCAGCAAGAAGTAATGTTCTTTAAAAAGGAGATGAAGGATGAAGGGGGATGATGTATAGCCTGCCTCTCATTGTGTCCTAGGAAAGCAAGCAACATTCATTTTGTGCCCACCTGGGAGTGGGGGCCCAAACGCAACCCCCATTTTTTGCCTTTCTTGGCGTTTCAAGGAACAAAATGTCATGTAAGCCATTTCATCCCGTAAAACTTCAAACTTTCCCAAAGTGGGCCATGGCCCATTCCTTTTCAGAGTGTAGGTCTTCCAAAATCTTGTCAAGAAAACTGCAGGGACTTGTCCAGTCAGTTGGGTAGGAGTCAACACTGACACACATGCTCACACACTTGATGTGGGACAGCAAGTGTGCTGTGGCCCTCAGAGTGATGGAAATTGTGCATTGCCTTCTCTGTGTGATCCTGCATACAGAAGCACTGTATCCAACACCACGGACCTTAACCCTTCCTTTTATGCAAGGCCCAGGCTGAATGTATACCATCGTCAGTTAATATCTTTATTAATCAGCAGTTCACGCCTCCTTTCCTAGGCTGTGCACCAAAGTTCACACACCATCTTCTAGACCATGGTAGTTCCTGGTTTCCTCCTGCAGGACTGGATTATGCTGAGAAACATCAGGAACACAAGGAATATGGAGAGGCCCACCACCAATGCCTCAATGATGGAGTAAGTGTGAGCCAGCTCTCTTGGTGGGCTCATCGCACCAGGAGAGGCAACCAAAAACTTGCCCACTAAGTGGCCATTCACGAAACACTGGTAAAAAGTGCTGTGTGAGTCATTCTGGAAGGAGAGGCGTAGGATCCCACCACCGGTGGCTTTGTCCAGGCTCTGGGAACTGTTCTTCTGGAGAAGTTGAAGACGTGTCAGCGTTGTGAGACCTACCTGCCAGTAAACAGGGCTGAAGAAGGCAAGAAGCAAGGTCATTCAAACAAGATGACAAATCAGACATCAATCCCAAAGGTGTATGAATAAAAGCAAGGGATTGGAAGCCAAGGCATGCTGTATTTTAGTGGGCAAATGAGCCCAGATTGCTACAGAAATAGCCTGGGTTCATCTATCAGGCTAAGCCACAGTTTGTTAATCAAACTGCAACTGACTGGGTTCAAACAGCGTGCAAAACCAATCGTTTCCAAGCCATGATATTTTGGTTCACATAGCACTCTTAACTACCAACCACCACCCTGTGGTTGAATGCCATGTGTGAACTCAGCTTCATCTCAGAAGAAGCATTTTGTACAATGTGTGAGAAAAGAGGGAATGCCTCCTCAAAGATGGCACTGCTGTCTGCAATTTTTGAAGAGTTTTTAAAAAAAATATTCTAAAAAATGAAAGATTCTGCACAGCCAGTCTAGACATCTTTTCAGCAAATCAGAATATTTAGATTACAGCAACTACTGCACCAATTGAAGGTTGCAATTTTAATGAGACAAGAGGTCTTATACATTTATACCACTTTGATTTTATATTAAAGATCACTGCCTGGGCCACTGCCCCCCTGTATTTCATATCCTTGAAAGACCGATTTTGCCTATTCAGTGAGATTTGCACAATATGCCAAGTCATAATGGGATTTCTGTGGTATTGGCTCAGTGTGTTGTGTAAACCCAGCCAATGTGATTTGCAAACAGTGGTTTACAGATTAGTTTGATATAGCTCTTGTTTGTTCTTCATTCAACAAACTCTAAAAAGGTTTACAGGAGGCAAACAATCTTTTTAATGCAAATGAGGTCTTCACTTTTTCTTGCTAAGCCCTTTAAGAACTACGCAGCTGCGGTGAAAGGGACTGATATTTTTATTTTGCAGGTGTCCTAGGAGGGTGTTCAATGTAAAATAGGTATTTTAGCAGATGCTTAGCACACTGATTTTCTCACAAAGAGGAGCAAAAGCACGTCACTAAAAATATTGGCAATGTGCTTCAGGGGCTGGAAAAATTGTGCTGGGGCCCACAATTTACAGGTTGCTCATTCTGGCTTAGAACAATGCATGGACCTTTTCTTTTTCTTTTCAAATAATGCTTAATTGCCCATCCACTTGTCTATCTATTCATTCATAGATCCATCCATCCATCCTAGAATAGCTGCAACTATTTGGGGGTCATTCTGGACTTGCAGCTCTTGCTCGAAGAGCAGGTGACAGCCGTGACCAGGAGGGTCTTTGCACCACTTTGCATTGTGCACCAGTTGTATATGTCCCTGGACTGGAAGGCCCTGCTCATGGTCACTCATGCCTTAATCACCTCTTGTGTGGATTACTGCAATGCACTGTACATGGGGCTGCCCTTGAAGACTATTTGGAAGCTTCAGCTGGTGCAAAATGCGGTGGCGCAGGCAGGTATGGGTGCCGGTTGCTCAGCACATATGACACCTCTGGTCCGTGAGCTGCATTGACTACCAGTATGCTTCTAACAGCAATTCAAGGTGCTGGTGGTTATCTTTAAAGCCCTATATGGTTTGGGGCCGGGTTGCCTACAGGACTGTCTCTCCCCAGTGGCGTCTACCTATCCTGTGAGATCTGGCACAAGAGGCATGTTCCAGGTACTGTCCACAAGAGAGTGCCATCTGGAGGAGCCAGAAAGAGAGCCTTTTCTGCCATGGCACCCACCCTCTGGAACATCCTTTCCCCAGAGATCAACTTGCCCTGATCCTTCTTTGAAAGGCACTGAAAACCTGGCTTTGCATTCAAATCTGGGGCCCTGATAGTGAAGGGTCAGAAGAAGGGGATTAATCTCCCTCCCCCCAGTTCCTATGTGGAACTAAGGCCATACCAACACCAGTTTGAAGAGGAATGAGCCTGACAATCCACTGTTGGGGCAGCTGATGGGGGAGGGGGAGATAACATGCTGGAACGCTTGCAAGAGGGCCCACGACCTGGAAAACAGGATGTATGAAATTTAGATATAGGCTTAAAGCAGCTTGCGCCATAGGGAAAGGAGAAGAATGTAGATAGTTATGACAGGGTGATGTCCATTTAGCCGTTTAACCGCAGCCTGCAGGGACATGATCGCCTTTAAAGTGACACATAGACAGAAGCCCCAAATATGGATAACTGTAAATAAGGGCAATAAGAGTTCCAGAAAAACATCTACTTCTGCTTCATTGACTATGCAAAAGCCTTTGATTGT